AGTCCAAATTCTAACTGTACTCCTATAATTTTCTTTGTAATTCAGCGCAAAGCTGACTCTATTACGGGAGGGCGTTCCTACTTCTCTGTCTTGTTGGGACGGGGGGAGGGGCACACAAACGCTCAGTACAGTCCTTTTTGTTAAGTTGGCCATAATTTTACCGAGCGAAAAAGCTGGCAGCATCCATCTCTTTCTCTTGCCTTGTTTTATTTAGCCCCTAAAATGGCCTCAGAACTGGCAACTGAATCGGAGCCTACGGTGTCTCAGGATTCGAGCCTCCCACATTTCACTGCGTCTTCAACCGTTCACACCGATCTTTCTCAACCAGACTTTTCCGGTGATTTCGGCTACCTCTGTTCGGATATCAGTTACTTTCAAGTCCTTCCAACAACGGCAGACTCTCCAGGTCATTTTTCGCTTCTCAAGGAAGAGGGGACAGAGGAGAGTGTTTCGATGGTTCCTATGACCACGCTTCAGGATAGGGATGGAGAACAGCAGGGAGTCTTCGACGTTAGCTTTCAGTTGACCTCCCCCGTTGACTTAATGGAGGGGCAGACGACTCTGGGACATGACGAACTTAGAGCACCGACTTTGGGCTCTTCTACAACTGCTATTACGGATACATGCGAGCAGCCGACCTCAACTTTCTCGCAGTTTGATGAGCTTCCCCTTAAAGATGCTGGGGTGCCAACGTCTACGGAGCTTCCGACGACATTGTCGGTGTTTGACGACACTCTTGCTGCAGCAATGGAGGCTTTGGCTCAGGCATCCCAGGTGAGTTTGCATGGAGGCAGGGGCAGTATGTTTTTGTTGTGCAACTCGTAGGGCAGTCGTGCAGTTTCTTTAGCATGAATAAAAAACACACCTTTTCTTCATATACCACTCTTTGTGAGTATTCTAAAGCGAGCTTCCAGATACAACGGGAAAAACATGTTCCGTAAACAGATTGGTGGGCGCTACACAATCATGGTTCATAACCAACAAAAACGGGCCCGAGGGTCGATGGTAGCGTTACACTTGTGGCGGACAGCCACAATGCCTAGCCCCCCTTCGTTGTATAAGGCCCCAAAGTTATACGTCATCACAGACAACTATTCCAATGCTTTCTTCCCCCCGCCCCCCCGAGGCTTAACCTCTCAGCTGTTTCTGACTAACCAATAACAGCTGCGCTAGCTCCTCTTGCCCTTCGGCTTTCCGGCGGCCCCAACAGTTGACCTCAGCTTACTCAGTCATGTACACACGTGCGCACACGCCCGCGTGTACACGTGCGTCCAAATAAGCACGCCTGCTTAAGTGCCAATTGAATATACCACCCCTCGGCCGATGCAGCAAAGACCTCTATGGATGACATCCGCTCGGGCAATTGCAACACACCAATGACAGAGCACTTGAACTCGCTTCACAGTCATGTAAAAGCAACTGTCATCACCCACACATCACACAATCAACTCTCTCAGGTCTGGCTGGACGCGGTCAGCACTAGTATTGGCTTCGCCAGTGGCTAATAACACCTGAGACAGAAATTGGAATTCTATACACAATAAATCACTCCTTCTGATGACTTCTGCCTTATAACTTCCAACCTGGGATTCGGCCTGATGACTGTAGTGATCCGAGCGCAATCATTAATTCGACCACTTCACACTCCATGACCAAAGGATCACAGGCTCAAATCTCGGGTGATTCACATGTGGAATTAGGTATGACCGACTAATGTTGCCTACTTAGACAGAAAGGGCCATTCCGGTCTCCTCTGTTTTCGTTGGTTCCATCTTATCTTCACAAACACCAATGTTTAAGATTTACATGTTCTGCGAAAGAAGAATACGACACTGTGAAGGAACGAGCAGGATCAGAATATCAACTACTTAGCAAGTATTTAGAGCAGTAAATCCATAACTTTGTTTTCTATACTGACACAGTTATTATGTGTCTAAAGGCGTCCACAGGCACGTACTATATGCGAAACGTACCAACTGGGCTCAAAGCCTTTAGCAACTAACCCAACCCGACTGGAGGAAGTAGGTACGGCAGACTCCTTGCTGGAGCGAACCACAAAGATTGACTTGAAGTTATTCCCTGCATCCTTTCCCCTGAACTTATAATCAAATTGGCCATTTTACGGTTTTTTTCCTTGGAAGGTCAACAATAGTTTCCTGCCCGAAGCTGGCGGCTTGATTGAAGGTGGCCTGGAGGGCACCTTC